TTTCATGTGAAACGAAATTTCACTTTTTCGAGCGAGTGTGAAGAGTCGTGTGAACGTGATTGATGACGGATGCTCCCACCGAGTTCCGACACTCTGACACTCACTTGCACAGACAGGTGTCTCGGCTCCCAAGCAGCAGCCAAGATGAAGGAGGCTGGAGATATTGGTCTCGCTGAGCTGATGTGTACACTAGACCTATATGAATCTCATGGCATGCTGTGGGCGAATACGGTGCTGATGGTGGGATGAACTCTCTCAGCAGTCGAGAGTCGACTCTCGACGCATCGGGAGGGCGGCCGCGGCGGTGTAGGGGCGGCGGCGAGCTCCCGGTTGCAAATACTCGCCTTACAGTCCAAGATGGCGGCTCGCGCCCCCATCCGTGCACCGGCGTGCCACTCTAGTCCCGCCTGCCGCCCAGATACCGAGGGCGGGGCGCACTCTTCGACTTGGGCTATTATTGCGGGGCGCACTCTTCGACTTGGGCTATTATTTGCCACCGGGAGGGCGGCGGCGGCGGTGTAGGGGCGGCGGCGAGCTCCCGGTTGCAAATACTCGCCTCACAGTCCAAGATGGCGGCTCGCGCCCCCATCCGTGCACCGGCGTGCCACTCTAGCCCCGCCTGCCGCCCAGATACCGAGGGCGGGGCGCACTCTTCGACTTGGGCTATTATTTGCCACCGGGAGGGCGGCGGCGGCGGTAGGGTCGGCGGCGAGCTCCCGGTTGCAAATACTCGCCTCACAGTCCAAGATGGCGGCTCGCGCCCCCATCCGTGCACCAGTGTGCCACTCTAGTCCCGCCTGCCGCCCAGATACCGAGGGCGGGGCGCACTCTTCGACTTGGGCCATTATTTGCCACCGGGAGGGCGGCGGCGGCGGTGTAGGGGCGGCGGCGAGCTCCCGGTTGCAAATACTCGCCTTACAGTCCAAGATGGCGGCTCGCGCCCCCATCCGTGCACCGGCGTGCCACTCTAGTCCCGCCTGCCGCCCAGATACCGAGGGCGGGGCGCACTCTTCGACTTGGGCCATTATTTGCCACCGGGAGGGCGGCGGCGGCGGTGTAGGGGCGGCGGCGAGCTCCCGGTTGCAAATACTCGCCTCACAGTCCAAGATGGCGGCTCGCGCCCCCAAGCATCCATGCTCTGATGTGTCGCTTGGGTCGCCTCTGCTGCTGTGTCTCTGTCTTAGCCAGATATCGAGAGCGCGCGACGACAACCAACCCCTTACCCTAATCCTAACCCTAACCCTAACCCTAACCCTAACCCTAGCCCGAAGAACCCAAAGCATTCACCGAGAGCTCGTGTCGACAGACCGCTGATTCCTCCATTTGGTTTCGGCCCAAACCGGACCATTCTCTTAGGAGCTGCACAACGGCTTGAACGCTCTCTGACCCTAACGCCTAACCCTAACCCACACCCTAACCCTAACCCTAACCCTAATCCTAACGACACGGTGCTTCTTAAGAGGTCGTGCGCGTCGCTGCCGACGCATCTCGCGTGTATGGTGTATTTGCAGTGTATTTCGGCGGGGGCGCGCATTAAAAGAACATTGAGGCAACACTCACGTCCTCGAGCGCCCGAGGACACGAACCAAGCTGCACCTCCTCTCGCTAGAGTTATTGTGGGCTCGTTCCTTTCTACACTTCCTTGCTTTCACCGCGTTTTGATGCAGTGAGGGCAGGCCCCTGCTCTTTGAGCCTTGGGGACGACCACGGCCTTGACCACGGCCTCGCTGCAGGGAAGCAGGAACGCGCGGCATTGGTGGCACAGAGATCCCTACCGGTGCCGGCAGTGGTAGGCGCACCGCCGCTCTCTCCGCTGTGCCGATTCCGCCGCTGCCGCCTCGACTGCTGCCGCCTCCGCCGCTGCCGCCTCGGAGATGCCAGAGCCTTCGAAAGTAGTCGAACTTGTGAAATTTTCAGTGAAACGGGGGCGGCCGAAACGTTTCATGTGAAATTCACATGAATTCACATGTGAAAGTGAAAGTGTGAAAATTCACTCACGAACCCTGGCGTGCGTGCGTGCGTGCGTGCGTGCGTGCGCGCGTGTGTGTGTGTGTGTGTGTGTGTGTGTGTGTGTGTGTGTGTGTGTGTGTGTGTGTGTGTGTGTGTGTGTGTGTGTGTGTGTGTGTGTGTGTGTGTGTGTGTGTGTGTGTGTGCTTAGGGCGGCTCCTGTCGCCTGTCGGTATGTGCCAGCGCAAAATTCTTTTTACTTTTTGTTACCAGTGCGCGCCAGTCCCGTGCCCAGTGGGGCCCCAGAAAGAAAGAAAACAGACAACCCAAACGAGGGATAGGGGAGGAGGACAGGGTCCACACCTGCACGAGTGCGGCCAGTGCGCCCTCGTGAAAAATTCTTTGAGGGCAGCAGCGGCCGGTGCGCCAGTCGCCGCTGGACAGCGCCCTCGCGTCGGCAACGATGGCAGAGAAGATCCCGTGGTCGACTCCCATACCGTGCGACATTGGGCCCGGCTGGACGCGAATGACCAAGCCTCGCGCCAACGGGCCGCCGGGCTCTCGGGTCGCCGACCATACGTGGATCGGGCCGGACGGCAAGAAGTACCGCTCAGAGAAGCAGGCGCGAGCCGCCGCGGCCAATCCGGCCGCCGCCAGCGCGGTGCCCGCAGCCGGCGGCAAGCCCAAGAAGGCCGCCGCAAAGAAGCCGCCCACGACCCTCAAAGTGGCCTACAACCCACCGACGGCGCGGGCGGCCGCCGCCGCCGCTGCCGCCGCCGCTGCCGCCGCCGCTGCCATCAAGTGCAAAACCTGCGGCAGCGGGGAGGAGCCGGAAGGGAACGCGATTCTGCTCTGCGACGGCTTCGGCTGCACCAGTGCCTTCCACCAGCGCTGCCTTCCGACTCCGCTCGAGGAGGTCCCCGACGGCGATTGGCTCTGCCCAAAGTGCGCGCCAGAGGCGCCGCCCGCCGACCTCGTGATGCCGTCGCCGGTGAGCAAGGACCGCGCCCTCCGGCGCGAGCTCCAGGTGGTGGACGGCCTCCGCCCCGCCGACTGGGCGGCGGAGGAGGCGCAGCGGCTGGAGGCGCAGCGGCGCGCGCTTCCCGACCGCGCGCTTCGGCTGGGCGAGCTGGGCGGGTGCGCGTGCCTGGTGCAGCTTCCGGCCAAGGCGGTGGCCCGCGCGTGTGTGCGGCCGGACACTCGCCCTCCCTCACTCGTGCGCCACGGCTCTGCTCTAGGCGACCGCTTCGGACGCCTCCGCCTCGCCGTCTGCCGCGGCAACCCCGGCCGACACCCTCCCGCCGCCCGGCGTGGGGCGTGGCTGTCTGATCGGAGAGGCGCTCGACGCTGTAGGCGGCGGCCGCCCCGCGAGCCGGCATCCTCGTGGAGGCGCGCTGGAGCGGCGGGGAGGGGGTCGGCGAGGCGGCGGAGGGCAGGGGTGGCGACCTGTGCGCCTGCGTGTGGCTGTCGGGCCGCAGCGCGCCCTGCTGGCTCTCGCTGTCGGCCGGCGGGGCGAGGCTGTACCTCGGCTCGGAGATCTGCCTCGCGAGGCGGGAGGCGGAGCTCTGGCCCGCACGCGCCTTCCGCCTCCTCACGCCAGACTCCGTCGAGACGAGCGGCGAGCAGGGCTGCCCTCTTCAGGGCTGCCCTCTTCAGGGCGCCGCCAGCCCTCGCGCCGCCAGCCCTCGGAGCCCGGCGGGCCGCGGCGGGCGAGGGCGGGGCGGGCGCGGGCGCGGGCGTAGCGGCTTGCGGGCGGGGCAGGGCGCCGCGCGCGGGTCGGAGCAGGTCTGGCTGCGCTTCTTCGGCGCCCCCGGTGCGGCCTCCGTCCGCGTGGCTTCGAGCAGCCTCGCCCCCTTCCCGCTCGCGACCGGCACGCCGCTGACGGTGGCGACGCCGGCGCTCTCCGCCAAGCTGCAGGCGATGGATTGGGCGCTGCGCCACCCTCGGCACAACCGCCGCACTCCGCCCCTCTCTCCGCCCCCGGAGGGGTTGATGGAGGCTCTGGTCGGCCAAGCCATCGAGGTGATGTCGGCTGCAGAGCAGCTGTGGCGAAAGGCATTCTCACCTCACCGCCCCGCTGTCGCACTCACTCTCCCTCACACCTCCCTCAGGCCCGCCTCCTCTCCCGCCCCGCCCCCCCTCTCGGCACAGACCTCTCGACACGTCGCCCCTCGCCCAACCCCCTCCTCTCAGGCGCTCGTCCAGGCCTACTCTGCCGCCTCGGGCAAGCACCTGCTGCTCAGCGCGGAGGGCGAGGCGGAGTGGCGCGCCCTCTCGCGCGGCTTCTACGCCTGGCGCCGCCTCCCACCGCCAAAGCCTCGCGGCTGCCCCCCCCCCCCCCCCCCCCCTCCTCCCGAGCCGCGCCCCTTTCCGCTCTCGGCAGGCACTTCCTCCCGCCCGACAAGGAGCCGCTGCTGCGCGAGCAGATCGAGGCACGCTTCCGCGAGGCGCAGCGCCACGCGCCGCCCGGCCTGCCCCTCGGCATGACGGCCGACGACTGCCGCATCTACGGCCCGCCGCCGACCTGCTTCAACTCGGACGCGCCGCGCACGGGCCCGGGCCAGCTCGTCGAGTGCGCTCGCTGCGCGCACCTCTTCCAGCCGGCGAGCCTCGACAGCGGCTACCAGCCGGGCGGAGAGGGCCCGTGCGTGTGCGAGGCGTGCGCCACGTGCGACGCGTGCGGCGCGAGTGCGCCGTCCGAGCTCTCCGGCCTCTTCGACGAGCGCGAGACGGGCCCAGTGCCGTCCGGCTGGCAGCTCGACGCGTCGCGACGGCTGCTCTGCGTGGGCTGCGTCTCGAGCATGCGCGCCGGAGGCCGCTGCGCCGCGAGCCTGCAGCAGTGGAGCAGCGGCTCCCTCGGAGTCCACTGCACGACCTGCGGCCTGTGGTGCGGCGTGAGCAAGGGCGCCGACGCCGCAGAGTCGGCCAAGCCGATGCCGCCGCCGCTGCCGCCGGCTGTCGGCGGAGGGACGAAGCTCGAGATAGGGCGGGCGCGCGTTCAGAGCTGCGGCCGCTGCGCGGGCGAGGCGCTGCACCTGCAGCTGAGCGACGCGCTGGACGAGCTGCAGGCTCTGGACCCGCTCGGCTACTTCGCGCAGCCCGTCGACGACGAGGCGATCCCCGAGTACCGCACGGTCATCCCGGACCCGATGGACTTCAGCACGATGCGGGTGCGGCTCCGGCGAGGCGAGTACTCATCGCCACTGCAGCTCGCGGACGACTTCGTGCTCCTCTGCCGCAACGCGCTCGTCTTCAACCCGAGCGCCACCAACCCGTACCGCGTCGCCGCGAAGAGCCTGCACGGCCGTGGCCAGGCGGTGCTGCAGGCGCAGTTCGGGCTGCACCTCGACGGGGCGGCTGCGCCGGCGGCTGCGCCGGCGGCCGCCTCCGAGCCTGCCGCCGCCGGCCCTGCCGAGGAGCCGTCGCCGGAGGAGGCGCCGGAGGAGGCGCCGGAGGAGGGGCCGCCGCCCTCTCCTGGCGCCGGCGCACGCAGCGACGGCGTTCTCAGCAGCGCCGACCAGGCGTCTCCCCCGCCGCTCGAGGCGCCGTACTCTGGCGACGGGAGCGTCGACTCGCACGGGCTGAGGCGCACGCGCAAGCCCGCGGCCGACTCCGTGCAGCCTGGAGGCGGCGAGGGCGGCAGGGAGACCGGCAAGGGCACCAAGCGAGGCGCGCCCGATGCGGCGGAGGAGCTGCCAGACGACCCGCTCCGCCTCGTGACGTGCGAGGCGCGCGAGCCGAGGGCGCCCGTGTGCACGCTGCTGCCCCACCCGCCCCCCGACGGCAGCGAGCAGCAGCAGGCCAGCGGCAGCGCGGCGTGCCCTCCTGCCGAGTGGGAGGCGATCGACTTGCCGTGCGGCCCCGCTTGCGCGGCGTGCGGCTCTGGGGGCGAGAGCAAGCACGCGATGCTGCAGTGCATCTGCTGCGGCGAGAGCTTCCACCGCTTCTGCCTCGGGCTGCCGCCGGACGCCGAGGTCGACCCGCTGACGTGGCAGTGCGCGAGCTGCAACGTGTGCTCGCACTGCCACAGCGGCGTCGACGAGGAGCTCCTGCTCCTCTGCGACTGCGGCGAGGCGATGCACACGTATTGCCTCAAGCCGCCGCTCAAGGCCGTCCCGGCGGGGGACTGGCGCTGCCCCAAGTGCGTCAAGTCGCTCAAGTGCGAGCGGTGCGGCACGAGCAAGCCCGGCCGAGGCGGCTGGCGCGTCGACTACCGCTTCTGCGACGAGTGCGGCAAGCTGCACGAGGAGCAGGGCTACTGCCCGCTCTGCATGCACGATTGCCGCACCGAGGAGGGGCCGATGGTGTGCTGCGACAAGTGCGACTTTTGGGTCCACGCCGAGTGCGACGGGTTCAGCGAGCGCGGGTACGACTTCTTCGTCTCCAAGGGCGACAAGATGAGCTACGAGTGCCCGCGGTGCGCCAAACGGCAGCCGCTCGAGTATGGCCGCGCGCTCGACGCAAAGGTGCCGAAGTCCTTCAAGGCCAAGCCGGACCCGAGCGACGCGGGGTGTGCGCCGGAGCTCTCGATGGCGCCTCCTCTGCAAGCCGCGGTGGCTGCCGGCAGCGCTGCGACGCCGGCGGGGCTGGCTCCACTGGTGGCGGCTAGCGCGGTCGTGGCCGCTCAGTCTAGCACTTTCGCGCCGCCCTCGCTGCCGCAGCCGTCAAGCCCTCCACCCTCACTGCCGCCGAGCATACAGCAGCAGCAGCAGCAGCAGCAGCAGCAGCATATTATGCGGCAGCAGCTTCAATGGCAGCAGCAGCAGCGGCTGATGCTGCTGCAGCAGCAGCAGCAGCAGCAGCAGCTTTTCCAGCAGCAGCAGCAGCAACAATTGATGCAGTGGCAGCAGCAGCAGCAGCAGTACGCAGGCATCGGGCAGCAGGGCTACGGGCAGCAGGTCTACGGGCAGCAGCAGGGCTACGCGCAGCAGCAGTACGCGCAGCCGGCATATGGCCAGCCGCAGCAGCTCTTCCACCAGCTGCAGCACGGTGTGTCGGTGCCGGTTCAGGGCATGCCGGTTCATGCCGTCCCGCAGCACATGCCCGCGCCGGTGCTCGGCAACGTGTCGGGTGCGTACGGTCTGCCGCCGCCCTCGTGCCCTCCGTCCCCTGCCGGCGACGACGACTCGGCAGCTCCGAGTGGCGGCAGCAGCCCCCATTCCTCGCGCGGCGACGAGGCCATGCCGCCAAGCTGCCCGCAGGACGACGTGGAGGACGACGTGGCGGCGGAGCCAATGGACGAGTCGGGAGCTGGCGGTGCCGAGGCGGAAGCTGCGAGCGCTGGCCAGGGCGGCTTCCCTCGGCACGTGGTGTGCAAGCTGTGCCAGAAGCCGGGCGACGCCGGCGAGGGCGGCCGCATGCTCTTCGTTGAGCCGGGCTGCTGGGCGCACGTCAACTGCCTCGCCTGGTCGTCCGAGGTTGTCGAGACGGTGGGCGGCGACCTCACAAAGGTGCACTCCATGCTGCAGCGCACGCGCAAGATCGGCTGCGCCCACTGCGGCCAGCCCGGTGCCTCGATCGGCTGCAATGTCCACCGCTGCAAGCGCTCCTTCCACCTGCCGTGCTTGGGGCCCGCCGGCGCGCTCGTCTTGGCCGACCGGCGCGTCTACTGCGAGGAGCACCGCTCCGTCAAGGCTGCGGCGCGCGGCTCGGCCCTCCACGAGCTCCCGCTCGCCGACAGGCGGATGCGGGTGCAGCCGAGCAAGCGGAGCTCGCCCGAGGACTGGCCTCACGGACACTGGCTCCGCGTCGGCGCGCTGACCGTGCTGCACCGCGGCGAGAGGCCGCAGAAGCCCGGCGACCCCCCCGCCGGCTACGTCGCCCGGCGGAGGCACTGGAGCACTCTCCGCGAGGAGGAGTCGTGCTGGTACGAGCTGCGCATCTCCGGCGCCGAGGACGGCGCCCTCGCCTTCAGCGTCCTGAGCGAGCACGAGCCGGAGCGGCCGATCGAGTGTGCGTCTGCGCTCGAGGTGGCCGCTGCCTCGCCTTTTGCGCGCGCGTCCCTCTCCCGCGCTAACGCAGGGTACGACCCCCGGCTGTAGGCGGTGCGAGAGCTCTACGCCCGGCTGCGAGCCGTCTCGACCAAGCCGGCGCGGACGCGGGTCCACTACCCGTACTCCGCGGCCAGCTTCTTTGGCTGGAGTCTGGAGCCCGTCCAGCGAGCGCTGCACGGCGACGAGCGCGGCGCGGCTGGCGGAGCGGCCGAGGAGCCGGAGGAGGCGCGCAGCCCGGCTCTGCGGGTGGCCGAGAGAGAAGAGGCGGGTGTGCGGAGAGCGGTGTGATCGCTGTAGGTGCGCAACCCGTCCGGCTGCGCCCGCGCGGAGCCCGTCAAGTGGCGGCGTGCCGTCGTCGCGAGCACTACGGCGGACGGCACGGCGAACCACCGCGGCAAGCGCGCTCGGTACGAGGAGGACGAGGAGGCGGAGGGGCTGCAGCTGGGGAACGTCGAGAAGCTGCGCAACCTGAACGACTCGGTGCGCGCCCCTGCCACCGCATCGGGCCGAACCCAGCCGTGTGACGCCGTCCCCCTCGCAACAGGCGCGCTCCCGCTTCAAGGTCAAGGGTTCCAACATCCACGGCTGGGGGCTGTTTGTCAAGACCCCGATCCCGAAGGGCGAGATGCTGATTGAGTACCAGGGGCCCCGCCCGTCCGCCCCCCCCCCCCCCCCGAGCCCGCCCCCCCTCCGCATCGCCTGCTCGACGCTGCAACCCTCCACCTCCAGGGGTGGTCCTCTATCCCTAAGCCTAAGCCTACCCTCCTCCCGCCAGGGGTGGGTCATCCGCAAGTCGATCGCCGACCGGCTGATGGAGCGCTACACGCGCGCGGGCGTGCCTGGCGCCACGGACGGCTCGTACGTCTTCAAGCTGGACGACACGACGCAGGTCGACGCGACGATGGCGGGCAACATGGCGCGCTTCATGAACCACTCCTGCTCGCCGAACGCCTACTCCAAGGCTCGCTGCGACCTCTCTCCACACCCGCCGCCCTCCCATCGCGGCCCCCTTCACTTCAATTCCGCCGCCGCCCCTCCCTCCCCAAAGGTGATCGAGGTTGGCAAGGGGCCTCTCGGCAAGCACATCGTCATCTTTGCGAGGCGCGACCTCGAGGCGCCGACTACCGAACCCCCCCCCCTTCCCCCCCCCCCCCGCACCTCTCCCGCCGCCCTCACTTTGAACCCCCCCCCCCCCCTCTCCTGTCTCCAGGTGGGCGAGGAGCTCCAGTACGACTACCAATTCGCGCTCGGCGGCGAGAAGATTGCTTGCCACTGCGGCGCCCCGAACTGCTGGGGCCGCATGAACTGAGCTGTTTTTATTATCGATATCCACATCAGCCACCGTGTCTGTCGCGTGTCGGCGCCGGCCATCAGAGGCGACATGTAACTGTACCCTCGCTGTGGTGTCGTGTCTACCTGTCCCGCATGTTACTACAAATGGGCACACTCACCGGCTCTCAACAGCTCTCTTTAACTAGTCACACACACACAACAGTTCTCTGTGCGTCTCTGGCCTGCGCTCACGTACCGCTCCACGTCCACTCCGTCGGCAGCTGCAGACGGGAGCCGGGGAGGAGGGTTAGGCCGGCGACCGAACAGCTCTCCGTCGGCTTGCTTGCGAGCCGCTGCCTCTTCACCTCTCTGACCGCCTGCGCCTCGACGTGCTTGCCGTGCATCTCCTCCCAAGCGCGCGTCTTCGCGGCAACCTCTGCCGCGTCGCGGATCAAGTACGGCCCAACACCCGCTCCCTCCTCGTCGCTGCCCCCCGCCGCCTCGGCGTCGTCGGCCGCGCCCGCGCTGCAGAAGAAGCCGCTCGAGAAGAAGCCTTGCTCGAGCGCCTCCTCCGACACACCGTGCCGCAGAGACCGCTCCAGCTGGACATCCTCGCCGTCGAGATCGCACCTCGCACCGCCGCCGGCCGCGATCCGCTCCTTGGCCGCGGCCAGCTTCCCCCGAAGCCGATCGCGCCGCGCGGCGTTCGCCGCGAAAGAGGGGGGGCCGGACGGAGGCGCCCCGCCGCCTCCCTCGCCGCCGCCTCCCTCGCCGCCGCCTCCCTCGCCGCCGCCTCCCTCGCCGCCGCCTCCCTTGTCGCCGCCGTCGCCGCCGCCGCCGCCCTCGCCGCTCGCCTCCGCGGCCGCAGCGGCGCGCTGCAAGCTCGCCTCGTCGAGCGCGCTCGAAAGGCTGCGCAGCACCTCCCTCTCCGACAGGCGGGCTCGGCCGGGCAGGCTGCGGGCGAGGCTGACCGCCACCGAGCGCAGCTCCGCCGCCCGCAGCTTGACCTGCGTCTGGGAGAGGCGGAGGGCGCTGCACACGGCGGCGATGAGGCGCCCCTCGCCGCCCTCGCCGCGGCCGGACGGCTTGGAGGGCGCGGCGGCGCCCAGCGCGACCAGCGCCACCGCCCCACAGCTCGTCTCCGGCTGCCGCCCCTCGAGCAGCCACTCCGCCGAGGCCAGCTCGAGCAGCCGGCCCGCGAGGAGGCGGCCTGGCCCGCGCGGAGCCATCGTGCCCGCGTAGCCGCCGAGCTCGGCCACCTCCGCCGCCCGGTGCAGCGTGTCGCAGTCCCGCTCCAGCAGCGCTCGCGTGTCGAGTGCAAAGCTGCGCCGCTCGGTGGAGCCGTCGGCGGAGGAGGAGGGCGAGGCCGAGTCGAGTCGCTGCTGCTCGGCAGCGAGCTTGCCGAGGAGCCGCAGCCAGCACCGCGTCACCCGCAGCGGCGGAATTCGCGAGTGCAGCACGACGTCGCGCAGCGTCAGCACCGACGCCGAGCGGCAGCGGCGCGAGGCGAGCAGCAGGCAGCAAGGCGCGTGCTCCTCGAGCGCGGCGCTCCCCTTGCGATCCGGCGGCGTGCCCAGCGCCGACTTGACCAGAGCGCTGGCCATCTGCACGGAATCGTCGTCCAGGCGGAGCGCCGCCCCCATCTCGCGCACGCGCTCCTCGACCAGGTGCCAGCCGCGTTCGTCGAGCACGCGCTGGGTGCCGGCCACACAGTCGTCGGTCACCGTCTCAAGGACCCACCCGCACTCTGCGCACACCAGCTGGCCCTCCCACACCTCGGTGCCGGCGTCGCACGAGCAGCTTGATACCATACAAGACCGTGTCGGGGTGGGTTGCCGCGTCGAGGCCACAAAAAAAGAAAAAATCTGCGAAGCACGGCTAGGCGAACGACACGTACTTCCCCTCTCAGAGCTTCCCGTCCTCTGCTCGTTCGGCCCGCGCGACTAGGCGGCTCAGGTCCAGGGCCTCGCCCCGCAACCTGCTCAGCTCCTCGCTGGCGGCTCCCGCCTCGGCGTGGAGGCTAGATCATCACGCTGCCCGACGACACCGTGCGCCTGACCGGCGAGGCTGTTGTTGCGCGGTGCAAGTGTGCCCGGTGTGCTGTCCGGCCCGAGGCAGAGGATGGCGGCTGCACGCTGCCGCTTCCGCAGCCAGCGCGGCCGCGGCGGCGCTAGCCCAGGGGCGCCCTAAACCGGGTCTGAACCTGGTATGTCTAATAGGGTCCCCCACCCAGGCCGAGCCCTGTTTAGACCCAGTTTATCGTAAACAGGACTAATCTGGTTCGTGTTCAGCCGTGGTCTAAACTGGGTCTAAACATGGTCTAAACTGGTTCGCTTGATACCCTCATTAACGTAAACGTCGTCGTCGACGAAAGCAAGTGAGCCCCTTCCGTACAGCCGTGAACCAACAGCACCAAACACAGTCGCACAACTGTACCTGAGGGCACACACTCGAGTCCAACTCCAAAACTCCGCCAAAGATCGCATGTGTGTGTGTGTGTGTGTGTGTGTGTGTGTGTGTGTGTGTGTGTGTGTGTGTGTGTGTGTGTGTGTGTGTGTGTGTGTGTGTGTGTGTGTGTATTGCGTGTGTGCGTGCGTGAGTGTGCGTGTGTGAGTGTGCGTGCGTGCGTGCGCGAGCACCGCGGGGGCGTGGTCTGCGCGCTGTGAAACTCATTCATACGGTGAGGTATCTCTAGGCAGCCCTTCGTCCCGCCGCCTCACTCCTCCTCCGCCGCCTCCGTAGCAGAGGCGTCGCCGTCGCCCACCCCCAGCAGCTCTTGGTTCGGGTGCACCTCCTCGTCGTCGAAGCGCGAGAAGGCGAAGCGCGTCTCGTAGGGCGTCGTCACCTCATACATGGCCGCGTTGCCTGTGACAGGGGTGGGTGCCGCTCAGCAGCCGTGAGAGAATCCTCGTGCCGCGTTGTCTGCGCTTGACGCCTTCGATCGCGCCCTCGGCCATGGCACTCGTCTTGAACCGACCAGCGTTGCTGCCGGGGTAGGCGTCGCGCTTGCCCTCGCGCAGTGTGGTGGCAGAGAAGGACTGGCCCACGATACCTATACGGGAGGGCTCCGAGAAGTCTACACGAGCCTCGAGTCACCGTGTAGCGAGCGATGCCGTGCGGGAGGGTGCGGGCCGCCGCGTCGCCCGCCGCATGGATGTTTATGTCGAGCTGGTGCTTTGGGCCGGAGACCCATCCCTCGACGCTCTTGGCGCCGACGGTGAAGGTCCAGTTGCGCACCTGGGGGAAGGGGGAGGCGGGCGGTGCGGGGCCGGTGGGAGACGTGCGGAGATGCGGGTGGCGGGAGACCCCGCCTCAAACTTGGCGCTCGAGTAGTGCGGCTTGATTGAGAACTCCTCGCAACGGCGCAGCGTCGTCCCGAGCCCGAACGAGAAGGCGTGGCCGCCGCAGGAGCCGGTGATGAAGTCGAAGCCCGTGTTGAACTCGGCGAGCCGCGAGGCGAGGAAGGAGGCGTTTGCCCACTTGCGCTTTGCGCCGCGCACCCGCGCGACGACGTGGCCTCGGTGATGAAGGAGCCGTCGATGGTGGTGCCGGGCCACCATGGCGGGTTGTAGACGACGTCCTCCGTCTTGACGTTGAGGGCGATGCCAGGCGCCGAGAAGAAGACGACGACGGCGTCGTCCTCACCGCGGTAGTCTGCGCGGCCGCCGTGCGCAAAGTGCAGGTGCGGGTCGCCGTCGGAGCCGCCGATCGGCTTGTGCGAGGATGGCGGCGAAGGGGGCCATGCCGACGTCGGCGCCCTTGTGGCGCTTTTGTCGCTTCCGACGGGTTCGCGCGTAGTCTGATAGTGAGAGTCTGTGCTTGTCGTCCGACTGCATCCGGTCATGAAATACAGCGGATCGTTGTCGGAGTAGCAATCGACGTCATTTGCCGAATCGGGACAGATGGCCGGCATGTGGTCCATAATTTCGTCCGGGGGATATTCATCCCAGCCGTCGGGTGTGAACCAGACCTGCGTCTGAACTTTAGCACTGTTTTTGACTTCGACCATGGGCGACGTGTGGGA